AGGACACATGTCCTATACATACTGTCCCATACAGTGCTGGAAGATGAGCCCCTAGGCTGGAAGGCACTCAAAACACAGTGGCTGCAACAATGGGCTCAAACATACCAACATTCGAGATGATGGTACAGGACCAGGTAACATTTCATTCTGTTATGCATGGGGTCCCCATGAATTAAGGGAAACAGCGACAGCTACCAACAACAGAACGGGACCCAGACCGACCTGCTTGGATCTCACATTCCGGGGAGGGAGAGGGAGGGAGGCGGAAGCCAGGAGTGATCTGTGTTCAGTTCCAGAGACATGCCCAGGGCGTCATGGTGCTGGGGGGGTGTCAGAGAAGCTTCCAGGAGGAGGTGGGGCCTGTCTGGGTACTAAAGGACAGAGACTTCCAGAAAGTGATCAGCAAGGGGCAGGTGCTAGAAACTGCATGAGGGGTCAGAAGAGGAAGAGGAGGAGAGGGCACCCCACAAACTGCCCAGACTTGCTGCGGGGAGAGGCACTGGAGACAGGCAGGCAGGCCGCGGGCCCTGCTGCAAATCCTGAACTTTGTCCAGAGGGGTGCAACTGGAGATTTCTGCGCAGACCATTTCTATCGCTTGCTCTGTGTCTGCCGGCCCTCTCCCCCCAGCACGCCTTAGGGAGCTGAGGGCAGGACCCCCACACTGTCCTCCACATGATGCTCTGCAAAATCACAGGGAGCCTGGCAACAGAGGCTGAAAGAATCAATGTGCAAGCGTGGCTGGAGAGCTGGCCTGTACACAGCCATGGGTCAACAGGGATCCAGGACAGCTGTCGAACAGGGAGCACCCATCCGGATGGCTGAGCTCCGGCCTCGGTCCCCTCAGGCCTCCAGAGTTCAAGGTCTTTTTAAAACAGGAAACTGAAGAAATCAAGTGTCCTTGACTGATTACCACTGCCGTCAAGTCGATTCCGACTCATAGTGACCCTATCGGACAGAGTAGAACTGCTCCATAGGGTTTCCAAGGCTGTAACCTTTATGGAAGCAGACTGCCACATCTTTCAAACTGCCGACCTTTCAGTTAGTAGCCAAGCACTTAACCACTGTGTCACCAGGGCTCCTTAAAAAAAAGCAAATTCATTGCCATCAGGTCGATCCTGACTCATAGCAACCCTATGGTACAACTGCCCTGTAGGGTTTCCAAGGAGTGGCTGGTGGATTCAAACTGCCGACCTTTTGGTTAGCAGCGAGGCTCTTAACCACTGCACCACCAGGGCCCCTACACACTGTCTTACCAAAACGTACCACTAGATGGCGCTAACTGCCTTTAATGAAATATGCTATCAGGGCGGTTCAGCCTTTGCAATTAGCGTGGCATTTTTCACTTCCTTGTCACAGAAATTATCAGTTGATGCGATTCAGGGAACCAGAATTGCCTGTCCTTTCTCTTGCACCGGTAAAATGTGTCATCCCCACGGGTCTTGCACATGGTCTGTGTTCAGCTTACTTGAAGGAGGGGCCACCAGCTCCAATCTTGGGATGTTGTTCCTTCCATCCTGTGGATCAGTGTTCTCACTCTTGAGCCTGCATCATCATCTGGAGGGCTTCTTAAAACAGACTGCGGGGCCCCACTCCCTGCAGTTCCTGAGTCAGTAGGTTGGGGTGGACCCAAGAACTTGCATTTCTAACAAGTTGCCAGGTGATGCTAATGCTATTGGTCCAGGGCCCACACTCTGAGAAGCCCTGCTGTGGAGGATTCTGGAAGCATCAGATGTGAAGCCCTAACCATAGGCAGAACCAGCTGCCACGGCTCTGCCAGGCTGGAGCCCTCAGGCTGCAGGGAGCACTCACACCACCACCACTGTGTCCCCAGTCACAGTGGCCATGCTGAGGGGCTGGGCCACCAAATCTCCTTTGCAGCTCTCAGCTTAGCTACTCCATTGGGAACCCACTAAAATCTTTCTATCAGCACAAAGCCTGAGCAGACTTCTGACCCATACAACTGTGAGATAATAAATGGTCGTTCTGTTTTTTTGAAGCCCCTAAATTTGCAGTAATTCATTACAGCAGCAATACAAAACGAATTCCAATTCCAGTTGCTGTCGAGTCAATTCTGACTCATGGTGACCCACTGTGTGTCAGAGTAGAAGTGTGCTCTATAGGGTTTTCAGTGGCTGGTTTTATGGAAGTAGACTGCCAGGTCTTTCTTCCAAAGTGCCTCTGGGTGGACTCAAACCACCAACCTTTTGGTTACCAGCCAAGAGTGTGAACTGTCTGCACCTCCCAGGGCTCCAGATAACTAACACAACTTGTATTCATTAGCCCTCCTGCAAGATCTTGTTATTTAATGTAAACGTATTTATTATGCTATATGAAATGGTTTTATAATATTTTGATAACTGTTCCAACACGATTGGTTTCCTTTTAATTGTACCTTATTTTATACCTTCAACACCATTTTTCTGAAAGGAGTCCACGGGGTTGATCAGATGCCAAAGCCAGAAGGTGGCATGGCACAAACGAGAAAGTTAAAATCCCTGCTTTAGAGAAATGGCAGCATCTGAGTAAACTGGTAAGTCTTGTGGTAGCAACCAAGGGTAGAAACGGGTGGCCAGCCAGATGGTTTTGCTCTGTATTCTCAGGCCCTAAGTTAATCTTTTATGAAATTTCTTATTTTTACACTCAACATAGAGAGAGAAACACTCTTTTTGCCTTGGAACTGTAGTTTATCACATGAGGCTGGGCCCTTTCATCTTTCTCGGTATTGAGGGAAGCGTTTTTTTCAACTTCATCACCATGACCACAGGAAGAAACACACTTCACACTGTAAGCTATACACACCAGACAAATGTGAGTGCATTTAAACAGGTTCCACAAAGCAAATCCTACCTTTGTACTTGCAGCGTGCTCTCTTATTTCTTATTCTATTTTAGTCTAGTGTTGTCGATTTCTTTTAAGGCCAGTTGATTCCACTGAATTGATTTTACAACCCACAAATGAAACTAACAACAATAACGAGTTCTCACTCACTGTTTGAAAAAATACTGGTCTTGAGACCAGGAGAGGTCTCGCCTCCCACTTCCCTAATCACTCACACGCACCTACACACTCACACGCACCTACACACACACACACACACACACACACACACACACACACACACACACACACAACCTTCCTGCTGTCCTTTCAGGCCCTCAGGGGAAACTGCACATTATCTAGGAGCCACACTGAAGTGTTTAGTGCCTGAGCCACGGTTTGTCCATGTAAGGACTAAGGACATACTCCATGTCTAGAGCTGTGATCTTTACTTCAGGGGACAATCACCAGACCCCACTGGCCCTCAAAGAGCTGCTGTGCAGGGAGAGGTGGGGAGAGAGGTTTGTGCAGTGCATGTGGAGGTGGGAATAAGGATATTTTAACTCTAAGGTCCCAAAATGACATCCTGAGCAGATCTGGAGGGCACTGAGTATCGACTGAAAGTTGCCGCCTTTAGTCGTGGCTTTTAAAATTACATCAATTTTGTAGACGTTGGTAAAGAACCCTGAGTGATACAAACGGTTTGCGCTCGACTGCTAACCCAAAGGTTGGCAGTTCAAACCCACCCAGCGGTACTGCGCAAGAAAGGCCTGGTGACCTGCCTCCATTAAGATTACAGCCAAGAAAACTCTATGGGGCACAGCTTGACTCTGCACACATGGGGTCGCCTTGAGTTGGAACTGACTGACGGCAACTAACAACAACAAGGCGGCACTGGTAGAATAAAGACAGAGGAACACATATCAGCAAACATTCTAGGTTTTCTGTTAGAGTCAGATTTTTACATTTTTTTTCTCTTGCCCCTTCCATGAACTTGTCAAACTAAATGTCGGTTTACTTTTTGATTTGGAAAACATGGCTCCACAACCGTGTGACGGTACTGTATTCTACCCCAACATTCTCCATCAGAGTGGCCAGGTGTACAGTCACAGGAGAACCTGAAGGAACGACAGAGCAAACCGTGAAACTCACTCGCCAAGAAGGAAGGTCACAAAAACAGGAATTGAGATTTTCTGTTGTTTAGTTTTCAAATTAAGCTTCATCAAAAAAAAAAGGGGGGTGTGTGAGAATGTCTGACTCTTACAGGTTTGTAATCAAAGTCCAAAGGAGAGGTTGTGAAGGTATGAGAAGAGAAACAGGAAGCACAGACCCCAGAGAATGTAGGATAAAAATCCTAAAACCCTGCTGTCGTCTAGTCGATTCCAACTGATAATGACCCTACAGGACAGAGTAAAACCTCCCTACAGAGCTTCCACGGCTGTAAATCTTTACAGAAGCAGACTGCCACATCTTTCTCCCATAAGGTGGCTGGTGGGTCTGAACTGCCAATTGTTTTTCTCAGTTAGGAGCCAATCATTTAACCACTGTGCCATCAAACCAAAAAAAAAAAAAACCCAAATCTGTTGCCATTGAGTCAATTCCAAAAAAGCAGAACTGTGCCATAGGGCTTCCAAGGAGCAGCTGGTGGATTCAAACTGCAGACCTTTTGGTCAGCAGCCGAGCTCTTAACCACTGCACCACCAGGGATCCTAAAAATCCCAATATGTGTCCATTTCCTTACTCTTAAAAACAAGTTGTTGGGGCCAGATGAGTCACTTGTGTTAGACATCAGGACAGCACTACCCTTGGTGGGGAGGTGGTGACTGAAGGGGAAATGCGGGGAACTTCCAGGGGCCCGGGAATTGGCGTCACCAACTGTCGTCATTTGCCCAGGACTCCGTTGGTTTTAGCAGTGAAAGTCCAGTGTCCTTGGAAGCCCCCCAGTCCCGGGCAAACCAGAACGATTGGTCCCATATATAGAATGCTCTGTCTCTTCAGCTGAGTGCTGGGTACATGGGTGCATGCAGTTTGCGGAAATTCATCAGCTGAATACTTACACACTTTTCTGTAAGTATGTTACACATTGATGTAGCGTGCTGTGAAACCCAACCTAATCCGTTGGGCACTCACGCACATGGCGCCACCAACAGTGAGCAGCGGGAAGTGGGGTGCAGAGCGGTACCTCAGCCTGCAGCCTGGACCTCTGCGTCTGCAGGTGGGAGAGGGTGGCCTGGCTCTCCTCCAGCTGGCTCTGCAGGGCAGCAACTTTCTGTTCTGTCAGGAGCTCCTCCTGCAGAAAGAAGGCCAGACTTAGCTGTCACTCGCACTTGGGCCTCTGAGGACTTCACTTCTGAAATCCAGAGAGGAACAGACAAAGGAGGTGTAGGGCCCACACGGCCACTGTGGCACCTTTCTGCTTGGTCTTCAGTCACTTCAGAATCATCAGCTGCTTGTGAGTGGAAAATGCACGAGACTACATCTCAGGAGACCTGAGCTTAGGCTTGGCTGTTCTCAAAGCCTTGTTTTTCTCTTCCGTGAAAAAGAAAACTCAATTTTGTTCGGCTCGAATTCTCTGTGTCTATGGAAGACGGAAGGGAGCAGTGGGGTTCAGTGGTAGAATTCTCACCTCATGGAGGAGACCCCGGGTCAATTCCTGGCAAATGTACCTCATGCGCAGCCACCACCTATCTGTAAGTGGAGGCTTGTGCGTTGTTATGATGCCGAACAGGTTTCAGCGGAGCTTTCGGACTAAGTCAGACTAGAAAGAAAAGCCTGGTGATATATGTCCAAAAATCAGCCAATGAAAACCCTATGGATCATCTGCAACCAATCATGGAGACAGCACAGGATCTGGCAGCATCAGGGCCAAACGGACAGCAGCTAACAACACACAAGTAAGTCTGGTCAGTCTGAACTCTGAGCTGTCAAGTCGTGCTAAGACTTCATGGCAGGAGTCGAGCTGTTGGGGCTCCCAAAGGTGAGAGGAAAGCAGGGAGCCCTGGGGAGCAGCCGAGGAACTGTTAACACTTCTTAGAACGACCTGGAAGGAGGGGAAAATCCTGCCTTGACCCCTGCACGCTCTGCCCAGCGGGCGCCCCTTTCCTGACTGGCCTCTCCACTGTCTATTCAAAAATACAAGCAATCCCAGGATTACAAACAAGCTCCGCTCCTGAATCTGTCTTTAAATCGGATTTATATGTAAATCGGAACAGTTATGTACGGTTTTTTACCTAACATCAGTTAGTCAAATGTTTGTGTTAGTATATAGTACAGACTTTACCTTTCTATGCATAAAAAAATTAAACACTTCTAGATACATGAAAACATCTTTAAGGTACTAATACAGTAATAATAATAATGTTTTGATATGTGTCACAAAGTAGCACCTGTTTTGTTATTATGAACCATTGAATGTGCCTCAAATTTTCATATAATAGGTTTTATGGGGGTTGGCTCATAACTAAGGGTTGTACACAAGTCGGGTGTTCCTAACTCGGAAAGTCCCTTCTCTCAATTGCTTCCCAAAGCCTGGCTGCACAAGAAGAGTGCCTTCTTACAGACATGCCCATCTGAAGCCACTCAAAACAGAACACAAATACATACACCAAGTGCTCACATGTCCAAGCCCACACGTTCACAGTAGCCCTCGACTCTCAAACACCTAGCAACGCTGCGGGAGCACAAGCACAGACTCTTAGAACGCTGGAGCAAGAGCAAAGGAAGCAACAGTGACTCCAGGTCCCAGGCTGACCACATGGAGAAGATGGGCTGGAGACATAACCCGCCAAAGCCCTCACCTGTTCATTCCTACGTTCCTCAGACCATGGAGGCATGGATCTCTCTTGGTGTCTCGTTCTGTGTCTCTCGCTCTGTTTCCCTCCATCTCTGTGTTCCTTGTTTCTCTGTCTCTCAGTCCCTGTCTCGCTGACTCAAAGATGTGGACAAGTGGGTAGCTGGGAGCAGAAGGAACTCATATCCCTGGGTCCTGACATAAGAAGGATGCGCAAAGATGCTAGCTTTGCAAATTCTAGACGTGCAGCCTCAGCATGGAGGGAGATGCAGGCAAGCACATCACACCACCTCCCACTCAGCCTCTGGACTGGGGTCTGGCCGGGCCTCTGCTCGCTGCTTAGCAACTATTCATTCATCTTCATGCCCCTCCCCATCCCCACCTGCCGGGTGCCCAGCACAGTGCCCCACATACAGTAAGCCTCAGGCCTCACATACTTAAATCGAAAAGGAAGCAAAACAGCCCTGCAGCCATCCACCGGTGGCCAGCCTGGCACTCCACAGGCCACGGTGCTCTGGGCTTATAAGCAATGCCACAGACAACCTGCAGACAAAGGTGGCGCCCTGGGGCCACCGAGGAATGGGACAGAAACAAGACCGTGCTGTCACCATGTATCAGCACAGACAAAAAGAGCATCACACCGTCACAAAAATGACCAAACATCCCACTCTCCTCATTGACATGCATGATGCTGTTTCCTTTACCGAATGCAGTTTTAGCGGTACTCCATTCCTCCCGCCTCCAAGGTGTAAATTACTAAGATTAAGGTACTGGATCATAGGACCAGCCCCCTCTTTCTGAGAGCACCCAACCCAGAGCGAGCCCCTGCTTACTTGACAAGGTCAGCAAATCAGCTGCCATCGAATCGACTCTGGCTCATGGCAACCACACGTGTGTCAAAGCAGAACTGTGCTCCACAGGGTTTTCAGTGGCTGATTTTTTGGAAGTAGATCACCAGGCCTTTCTTCCAAGGCACCTTTGGGTAGACTTGAACCTCCAACCTTTCAGTCAAGCGTGTTAACTATTTACACAATCCAGGGACTCCCTGCTTAGGTGACCCCTCCCCAAAAGCACCTGACACAAGCCAAGCTCCTATGCCAGTCCCTCCCACACCCTCTTGCTGATACTCTTCGGTTCTCCCCACATGCGTGCTCCCTTGCTGCAGTAAACAGCACACCCAACTGTCTCTGACCACAGGGGTATCTCCAGTGGGCTCTGGCTGGTGGACACTGATAATCACTGCTTCACAGACACATTAGCTAACTGGCCTGCTTTCCCAGGGATCACACTGGTTGAACCCTCATTTGTGCAAAAGTGACTAGCACATTTCCTAGGACAGTAACAAGAACCAATGAAAGTAACCTGAAAGCAACCACCTAACTCGTATTTAGAATTTGTGAGCTAAGACTAATAAAGAATGTAATGATTTCTTAGCGCTTCTCAGACCTGAATGTGCAAGCAAATCCCCCCAGCGTCTTGCTGAAATGCGAGTTTTGACTCAGCGGGACTGGGGGCAGGGGCTGGGGAGCCTGCATGTCTAACCAGCTCCCAGGGGAGGCCAATTCAATGATATTAAAGTAGGTTCAGACAACCTCTATATTCTCATAATGTAGAAGAATTTTGTAATAGATTATAAGATTTAAAAGGTGCACTCCAATGTAGAACATCTTTGAATGAGAGGGGAAATGAGTGAAAAATAAAAATCAGGTATCTGGAAAGGAATCTCTGACAAAGAAAATGAAGGCTTAGGAAAAACTATCTCAGGTCTTTGTAGCCGCCTTGGTTACATTAATGAACAAAAGCAAGAACCTGAAGTGGTAACTAGGGGGCAATTTAGACAAGAATATCCTAATAAAGGCTAAAAAGGTCACTTTCCTTCCTCTTAGATGCTATTTGGCAGAGTTCAAAGGTGTGTTCTAAAATAAATTTTGGGATTTCTTTAGCTTTGATGTAAAAAATTAAGATAGAACAAAAGCTCAAGTAACTAGCTCTACTGGCCCACTGGTTGTCAAGCATATCTGCATGTTGGCATCCCCAGGGAGCTGAAAACCACTGAGGCAGGGCACTGCCTCCCTGGAGTGTCTCTTTAATCTACCTGGGGCGTGGCCTGAGCACACTTCCCAGGTGATTCCAAGGGGACCAGGGGTGAGAACCACTGTCCCTGTCATCTGTGCAAAACCCACTGCCTCAAGTCGATTCCAACTCATAGCACCCCATAGGACACAGTAGAACTGCCCCATAGAGTTTCCAAGGAGCAGCTGGTGGATTTGAACTGCTGACCTTTTGGTTAGCAAGCAAACACTTACCCACAGAGCCATGAGGGCTCCCATCCCTACAAAAGGAAGCAAAATCTTACTAGTTGAGCAGTCCACCAAACCAGCCCACCACACCCTCCAGAGAAGGTGTAAAGTTACATTTTTTGTTTTAATTTGCATCCTTTTCCATTTATTTCCACATATATCATATTATGGAGCCCTGGTGGTGCAGTGGTTAAGTGTCTGGCTGCTAACCAAAAGGTCAGTAGTTTGAATCCACCAGCTGCTCCTTGGAAACCCTAGGGGGGCAGCTTTGCTCTGTCCTATAGGGTCACTATGAGTTGGAATCGACTTGACAGCAATGAGTTTTTGTATCATATTATGCATCACAAAATACTAGAAATAACATTAGGAAAAAAATACCATCCTGTTGAGCAGCGAGAGAGCTACGTGAAAAAGAAATTTGGAGCCTGGGAATAATGTTTTACATCCAAAGCCTCATTAAAAAAAAAAAAAAAAAAAAAAACAGCTTCAATAATCTCTACCCTTTCCAAATAGTTCTTTTTTTTAATAATTTATTTTATTTATTTTTTGTTGGTGTTGAGAATACACACAGCAGAAACACCAATTCAAGTTTCTACATTTGCAATTCGAGCTGTGTAACTATTCTCACCCTCCTTTTCTGAATTGTTCCTCCCCCACGAACATAAACTCTTTGCCTCTTAAGGTTTCTATCTAATCTTTCAAGTTTCTGTTGTCAATCTGATCCCATGCAGATAGATCTTAAAAGAGCATTATGCTCAAGGCAGATACTCTTTACCAGTTAAACTACTACCTTTCCAAATAGTTTTCATGCCAGACTCACTCAGGGGCAGATTATCCAATAGGCAAGGCAAGCATGGTGCTTACCTTGTTTACCAAATCATCTGTAGTGACCAATTTCACTAGATTAGTAAGTATGCACATGTAAGCCCAGTTTGTGTATGCTTACTGGGCCATCTGCCCCTATCAGGGATTGTAAATTTGAAAAGATGCTTTGATTCTGTAGGAAGGTGCTGTGGGTTGGGACAGAGACGGATGCCAGCCGTACCCAGAAGCAGAATCTTTGGTGTGGTGAAAAAATGTGAAATCGTTCACTACAGATGGTCTGGGAAGCAACGCAATCTGCTCTTGGCTCCTCGCTTTATCATTAGCAGAACCAGGTCTTGAAAACATGCTCATAAGCCTCTGAGGCTCTCTATGTTCAAAATTTACAGTCAAATTAATAAGGGGAACAAAAAACCCAATTAAAAAAAATGGGCAAAAGATTTGAACACATTTCTACAAAAAAGATACCTGAATGGCAAATAAGCACATGAAAAGCACTCAACACCATTAGGCCTTAGGGAAGTGCAAATTAAAACCACAAAGAGAAGCACAACACACCTATTAGAATAGAAAGAAAAAAACAACTGACCCATCAAGTGCAAAGCAACAAGATCTCTCACACAGAGCTGCTGGGGATACATCAATGGCACACCCACTTTGCTTCTTTCTTATAAAGGATACAAGGAAGAATCTGTTGCTATTCAGTGAATTCATACAAGGTAGAAGTCCCATAATTCTCAAAAGGAAATACCAAAGAAAATGGTCACGGACACTTTATGTCCTCAGATGTCTAAGTACCAGTGTTCACAGTATGAGCTAAAAAAAAAAAAAAGTTAAAAAGAACCCATGAATACAAATTTATATTCAGATTTGGATACCAACTAGGAGTAGGGAAGTGGTAAACACAGCTAGCTGCTCCCCTAACAGTTCTGCCTGACACGTTTCCCTCGGTCTCCCACCAGGTGAAGCAGGTCCAACGAGAGGTGGGAGACACATCTCCACAAACGATTTCCCTCAGGCCTGGTTTGCTTGCCCAGCAGCTGTGGCTCCAATTCTTACCTCAGCCGTTCCACCTAGAATGGTAGATGCTTGAGGAGTCATCTGTACGATCTGCTGCAGGATGCTGACGTAGGTCTGAATTTCCAGAAGATTCTGTTGGGGGATGGAAAGCATCGTTGTTAACACTTGAGCTGCCTGAGTTTTTCCCTCTAGCACTAGACGAACCTAAAGGATGAATACGTTCACCAGTTTCACCATCACAACTAGGATGGACTGTGAACAAGATGACGATGAAGGTGACTCTGCTGTCACTCCTGGTCCCGCCCACCATGTGCTGTCACTGTAGTGGATGTCTCATGTCTGGTTTAATCTTCACAAGAGCATCAGGGAGATGAATAAACCGAGGCTTGGTCTACTCTGGAGCCCCAGGGTGCTCAGCTCCTGATCAAAAGGTTAGAGGTTGAGTCTACCCAGAGGCACCTCGAAAGAAAAGCTTGGCAATCTACTTCTGAAAAAGAACCACTGAAGGCCCTACAGTGTGTCTACTCTGACACATATGGGGTCACCATGTCTTAGAACTGACTCCATGGCAACTGGTGATACAGCCCACCAATCACAGGTTGAAGGGGCAGTAATTCCCCAGCACTTCCCTTTAAGGGGAGCCCTGGTGGCACAGTGGTTAAGAGCTCGGCAAAAGGCCAGCAGTTCAAATCCACCAGCCACTCCTTGGAAACCCTATGGGGCAGTTCTACTCTGTCCTCTAAGGTCGCTATGAGTTGGAATCGACTCGACAACAGCAGGTTTTTTTGGTTTTCCCTTTAAGACAGGGCAGCCATCAGCTGCACAGAGAAAGCCCTGAGGTGAAGGGATGTGGCTGCTGGCCGCTGGAGGCGCGCCAGGGCTGGTGCAGAGGTCAACTCCTGGCATCAAGGTCAGGAGCCCCCAGGTCAGCTACACTCACTTAACCCACACAAGAACGGAGCTGCGAAAGAGATGCTAGCATCTGCATTTCAAAGATGAAGACAATGCTCAGAGAAGTTAGGCCACTCACCCGTGGTTATATAGCTCCAGGATCTGACCTCAGATTGGACACTGGCAGTCTGGGATTCTTGCAGTACACAGAGGCCCCCCAAAGTTGTGACAGAGCAGAGGAAGGGTGCAGAGCACTACATAGAGGCGACTCCTGAATGCCGTATGTTCCCTTAATTAACTGGCTCAGAAGCAAAGCTGAAAAGCAATGCCCCTGCATGTTCAGAGCTGAAATAGTCGACAGAGTTGTAGCTTAGTCAATCCGTTCTACATACAATTACTTTGCAAACTTGTAAAGTACTATGTTGATATTGGTTCCCAATACCACCCCCAACACACAGGTGCACACACGTGTGTGTGTGTGCATGCATACACAAGGAGCTTGCTGACTCCTCTGCATACAGCTGGCTAATTAAGTGCTGTCCAGTGACCAGCCCAGCACCCATTTGGTTCAAGGGAAAATGCACTCAGAAACGGAGCCCACTGTGCAGTCTCAGTGTTCAGCCTGAGTAGCCTGGACTTGTCTAACCAAACTCAAACTGGTTTTTTTCAGGCAGGGTGGGCTTCAGAAGGATCATGGTTACCTTTTTGTACCTGTCCTTTGCTGCACTGATATCGTCCTGCAGAAACTGGGCTTCGATTTGAAGGCCAAGGTTATACAGTAAGGCTTCATCTGCTTCCTGTGATAAGAGAGAAAGAATCACATATACAATCTTGGAGGGTCCTACTGTGAAGGCATCAGCACGCTGGCGTACAATCAACCAGATGTATGAGCACATGAACCACCTGGGTGCACTTCTAGCAAGGTATTGTGTGTTTTTTATAAATTGAAGGTTTGTGGCAACCCTGCATCGAGCAAGTCTATTGGCACCATTTTTCCAACAGCATGTGCTCACTTCATGTCTCTGTGTCACATTTTGGTAATTCTTTCAATATTTCAAACTTTTTCATTATTATTATATCTGTTATGGTGATCTGTGATCAGTGATATTTGATGTTACTATTGTTAACTGTTTTAGTGCACCACAAATCATGCCCATATAAGACGGTGAACTTATTCGATAAATGTTGTGTGTGTTCTGACCGCCCCACCAACTGGCCGTTCCCCTGTCTCTCTCCCTCCCCTCTGGCCTCCCTATTCCCTGAGACACGACAATATTTAAATTAGGCCAATTAATAATCCTACAATGGCCTCTAAGTGTTCAAGTGAAAGGTAAAGTCACATGTCTCTTGCTTTAAATCAAAAGCTAGAAATGATTAAGCTTAGTGAGGAAGGCATGTTGAAAGCCGAGATAGGCCAAAAGCTAGGCCTCTTGCATCAAACAGTTAGCCAAGTTGTGAATGCAAAGGAAAAGTTCTTGAAGGAAATTAAAAGTGCTATTCCAGTGAACACACGAATGATAAGAAAGTGAAACAGCCTTACTGCTGATATGGAGAAAGTTTTAGTGGTCTGGATAGAAGATCAAACCAGCCATAACATTCCCTTAAGCCAAAGCCCTAACTCTCTTCAATTCTATGAAGGCTGAGAGAGGTCAGGAAGCTGAGGAAGAAAAGTCTGAAGCTAGCAGGGGTTGGGTCATGAGGTTTAAGGAAAGAAACCATCTCCTTAACATAAAAGTGCAAGGTGAAGCAGCAAGTGCGGATGTAAAAGCAGCAGCAAGTTATCCAGAAAATCTAGCTAAGATAATTGATGAAGGTGGCTACACTAAACAACAGATTTTCCATGCAGCTGAAACAGCCTTATATGGGAAGAAGATGCCATCTAGGACTTTCATAGCTAGAGAGAAGGTCAATGCCGGGCTTCAAAGCTTCAAAGCACAGGCTGACTTTCTTGTTAGGGGCTAACGCAGCTGATGACATTAAGTTGAAGACAGTGCTCATTTACAGTTCAGAAAATCCTAGGGCCCTTAAGAATTATGCTAAATCTACTCTGCCTGTGCTCTACAAATGGAACAACACAGCCTGATGACAGCACATCTGTTTACAACATGGTTTACTGAATATTTAAGCCCACTGTTGAGACCTACTGCTCAAAAAAAAAAAAAAAAAAGATTCCTTTCAAAATATTACTGCTCATCGACAGTGCACCTGGTCACCCAAGGGCTCTGATGGAGATGTACAGTACATCAATGTTGTTTTCATGCCTGCTAACACAATATCCATTCTGCAGCCCATGGATCAAGGAGTCATTTCAACTTTCAAGTCTCATTATTTAAAAAATACATCTCATAAAGCTATAGCTACCATAGAGAGTGATTCCTCTGATGATCTCGACAAAGTAAACTGGAAAGGATTCACCATCCTAGATGCCGCTAAGAACATCCATGATGCATGGGAGGAGGTCAAAATATCAACGTTAACAAGAGTTTGGAAGAAGTTGATTTCAGCCTTCATGGATGACTTTGAGGGGTTCAAGACTTCAGTGGAGAAAGTAACTGCACGTGTGGTGGAAATAGCAAGAGAACTAGAAGTGGAGTCTGAAGATGTGACTGAATTGCTACAATCTCATGATAAAACTTTAACGGATGAGTTGTTTCTTATGGATGAGCAAAGAAAGTGGTTTCTTGAGATTGAGTCTACTCCTGGTGAAGATGCTGTGAACACTGTTGCAATGACAACAAAGGATTTAGAATATTACATAAACTTAGTTGATAAATCAGTGGCAGGGTTTGAGAGGACTGACTCCAGTTTTGAAAGAAGTTCTACTGTAGGTAAAATGTTACCACACCAGCATCACATACTACAGAGAAATCTCTGATGAAAGGAAGAGTCAATCGATGTGGCAAACTTCACTGTTTTCTTATTTTAAGAAATTGCCACAGTAACCCCAACCTTCAGCAACCACCACCCTGATTAGCCAGCAGCCATCAACATCGAGGCAAGACTCTTCACCAGCAAAAAGATTACGACTCGCTGAAGGTTCAGGCGATGGTTAGCATTTTTTAGCAATAAAGTATTTTTTAATTAAGGTAAGTACATTTTTTTTTTAGACACAATGCTATTTCACACTTAACAGACTACCAAAAAGAAAAAAAAACAAAAAACTCATTGCCGTCGAGTTGATTCCGATTAATAGATACCCTATAGGACAGAGTAGAACTACCCCACAGGGTTTCCAAGGAGTGCCTGGTGGACTTGAACTGCTGACCTTTTGGTTAGCAGCCATAGCTCTTAACCACTATGCCACCAGGGTTTCCAAAAGACTACAGTATAGTGTAAACATAACTTTTATATGCACTGGGAAACCAAAAAATTTGTGTGACTTGCTTTATTGAGATATCTGCTTTATTGAGGTGGGCTGGACTGAACCCACAATATCTCCGAGGTATGCCTGTATGTAACAAACTCACCAAACTATCTGATAATTCACTGACTTTTACCTCATTCATCTTGTTTGAATAAATCAAATTGGTATAAAAGAATTGTTTATTCTCTTAATAAGACAGCACTCTGTTGTATGAAATTGAATTAAATACTTCAGTGTGTTTGGTGTGATATTACAGGTGAGTGTTACTTAGGCCCATCAGGACCACCACCACTCACCAGAGATGCCTCTGCCATCCACCCCTGCCAATACCTGAACCTTTGCTTATTAGTCTACTGAATTTTAAAAATCAGTGGATTTTTACTAACTTACTAAAGACTTGTTAATAAGCATGATGAATGTTAGGAATAGTCTTTCATTAATAAAGATAGATACATGGTTTGGCTAAAATATCTGAGACACTCCCATTCTTGAATGAACAAAGGTAAGCCAGTCAAGGTATGTGGATTGGCCAAGATCTTTTTGAGACATTTCTATCCTTCCACAAATAGGGTTAAGGTTCCAGTGAGGTCTCTGACCAGCACTATGGGGAAAGGCGCTTGATTCATTAATTGTTCCTATAAAGGACCACTGGTGCGTGAAGATTTTTGATTGCTTGATGCAGACTACAAGGACATCAGAATTCTGACTCTGGACTATTGTAGCATCCACCTTGAGTGAACTTTTCATGCAAAGGGTTGTCTTAGCACCTAAACCAACAGAGAGCTGGGACCTCATGGAGCCTACCGAACAGGATGTTTGAACTTTTGGGGCCCTGCATCAGAAAAAAAATGTTCATTTAATAAATACCCATCTGAGAATTTGGTTTAAAACTTTAGCAAGACCGTAGGGGATTAACTAGCCCTAACCCACCTCAAACTTCTACTTTCCCTATCCAGAATAACTTCAGAGTTGTTTAAGAACAAATTGGCTCAAGTCAAACTGCAACCATTAGGAATGTATAGTTAGGCCTCCGTATCCATGGGTTCCGCAAATGAGGATTGAAAATATTAAAAAAAAAAAAGAAAAAGTGATGTGTAGGCATCCCCCCTGCTGTAGCTCCCACTTTCTCACAGATCCTCCCTCAGTCTCTCTCCAGCTCTCATTGTTTGAGCATTGTTCGCCTCACATACAGGCTTCTTTGTCCCGTCATTATTCCCTAAACAATACAGTATAAAAATCATTTACATAGCATTTACATTGTATTAGGTAGTCTAAGTAACCTAGAGATGATTTAAAGTATACAGGAGGATGTGTGTAGGTTATATTACGTCATGTTATAGAAGGGACTTGAGCAATCCCCCATTGATATCCAGGGAGGACTGTATCTTAAAGCATTCCCTTCTGCATAAGGTTCATCAAGTAAAACTTAAGTTATTCTAATATGGTATTGTCCAATAGACGTATAATGACAACCTCAGACATCATTTTACATTTTCTAGTAGCCACATTAAGAAAACAAAAAAGAAACAGATGGAGTTCATTTTAATAATATATTCTATTTCACCCAATATCTCAAAAAAATTACCATTTCATCATGCAATCAATATTAAAAAAACGATACTAATAAGGTAATTTTACGTTCTTTATACTAGGTGTTTGAAAACTGGTGTGTGTTTTAGGAGAAGAGGCACATCTCATCCGAACTCTCCACATTTCAGCCGCCATATGTGGCTGGTGCCTCCCACATGGGAGAGCACAGCTCTGTGGGGTTAATTTTAAAGCACAGGGGAAAGTCTCATTCATCCTCAGTGTCTCCTCCAGAAACTTCAGGGTGAATTGCACCAGCCTCTTAACCCTCTAATCCCCAGTTACCAAATCCTTTCTTCTGAAGACTCTGAAGCCCCTCCTTTTGGCACTAGGGTTCCCAACACTGGGCGACCATGTAAGGAACGCAGACAGAGGGCGGAGCCGGCTGCCTGTCTGATTCTGACTCATGGCAACCCCATGTCAGAGTAGAACTGTGCTCCATAGAGTTTTCAATGGCAGATTTTTTGGAAGCAGATGGCCAGGCCTTTCTTCCGAGGAGCCTCTGGGTGGACCCAAACCTCCAACCTTTCAGTTAGCAGCTGAGCACTTAATTGTTTGAACCACCCAGGGACTTCTCAGAGGAGGGAAGGATACCAGTATCCAACACTGGCTCCTCACCCAGGATCCCCCGGACTCTCCTGCCTGTTTTCTCAGAGACTGGACTCACTCCTCTGCCCTCAAGTCGGACCTCTGCCCCACTGCCCTTTGGGAGAAGCAAGTGCTTGTGGGAAAATCATTTCTTTAAAGAAATCCACACATGGTCTCAAGTGTTTTTTTGTTTGTTTTTAAAATCAGAAGTAAAAGAATGAACCAAAGTACAAAAAGGCATGTTTCCAGGTACAGAGC